ATAAATGGACTAAAAAGTAGAAAATAATACTTCTCAGTCCCATAAAAAGCGTTGTATATTAAAAAGTTTTTTTTTATATTATTTATTTACTATTATTCTCCATAGAGATATTCATGTTTCGCTACACCTCATCAATATTATGCATATTGTGAGACAACCATCACACATAAAGTGCACATAGGCATTGTCCGCAAGTACTTTTTTACTGTACACTTTGCCGCATATACCTTCAGAGCGGATTCCACTCTCACCGCCTATTAGGCCTTTGCACTTATGGCAGTCACCCATTTTATTGACCGTATTAGTATTTGTTGGCAACCCCAAAAATGAAGACTTCTAAGCTCATATGTTTGTAAAATAAGTATCTGTCATTTGTATCCCGTTTCGTAGCTTACGGCGTATTATTTCTTTTCTATTCCGTCTGTCTACTAATAAGCACGTTGTAGCGTAATACGCTGTAAGACTTTATTTAAATTTGTATAATTGTATGTATATTTCTAAAACGCATCTTTTATCTGGAGGCCTTACAGTAAGACTCTATTCTACCGCTTAGAGCGCGTTCAAAAAGTTTTTCTTCGGTTTGCTCTCCGATCTTTAAACTTTTCTGTACCATTGCCCCCTTATCACTCTCGGTGCCTGCTAATTAGCCTGGATACCCTTGAAAATAGGAGATCTTTTTTAGCCTGCTCTTTTGTTGTCAAACTCATAAATGGGTCGATCGATTGCCCCACCCTTCTAAATAAAATTGTGTTCAATGTCCCGTCCAGAATACTTCGTTATTCTGAATTTTTAATATTGACTTCTCCAGAACCAACCATGGTGCAAATTCTCCTATATTTCGTACTTGTGCAGAATTAAATACGGTCTTCTTGCAACCTAGTGCCACTTCAATCAACTATCTACGTCAATTCTTTTTCCAGCTACACCAATAGCCATTAATTGCCCGTTCACTCCATCTTATTTGTATGTTAGTTTTAATTTAGCATTAATTCTACATAGTTTTAGATTTTATACGCAGTCTGTAAGAATATTTGTATTCGAAGACTTGAAATAAATAAATAAATAAATAGATAAAAAACCTAATTTGTATTGTGTTTGTATTATCTTGTAAATAAAGATTAAGCTACGGCATCACTCACCATAACAGTGGCGACGAGAAAAAAATAAGCTCTTTTTATCTAATACGCGCAACATCCAGAATGGCTACGTTGGAACAGGTCGTTGCGACTCTTTTGGCAAGGCAGCAGGAAACCGCCGAGCAACAAAAGCAGCTTTTGGAGCGTCTAATCGCGGCGACAACAATCAACCCGACAAGGCAAAATGAGCGGAGCTCGCCGATAAACAGCACAACGGGAGGTACGGAAACCCTAATGGAGACGCTGGCAAAGAGTATACGGGAGTTTATTTATGACCCTGAGGAAGGTCAAACTTTCGCTAAGTGGTATGCACGGTATGAATACCATTTTGGTGTGGAGGGGACGTCATTGGACGATGCTACAAAAGTTCGATTGCTTTTACGGAAGGTATGCACGAATATATTCGATAAATATCGAGACTACATTTTACCTGCTCAGCCGCGTGACATAAGTTTTAAAGATACCATTGCAACGTTCAATAAATTGTTTGATAAGAAAGAATCGCAACTTAGCATAAGGGTAAAATGCTTACAGAATGTACGCTTAGAAGAAGACATTGTAAAGTACGCAGCTCGTGTTAATAAATTGTGCGAAAATTTTTCACTTCGAGAGTGCACAGTTGATAATTTCAAGTGCCTCATGTTCGTTCATGGTATTCAATCGGTACGTGACGAAGAACTTCGCGCCAGACTTCTAAGTATGCTCGACTCCGAAACTAATGACAGACAATTAACGATAGATTTTTTTGGGTAGCCGAAATACAGCGGATGAAAAATTTGAAAAATGATGCGCTCGTGCGTGAAAATCCAATGAAAATACAAGCAATTTCTTTGCAAAAAGATGCAAAATCCGCCACAAAACCTGCTACAAAGTCAATGCCGAGCAGGCCTTGCTGGCAATGCGGGAATATGCATTTCGTTCGCGAATGTAATTTTACTAGCTGTTTAGGCCTCCACGCTAAACCAAATTATTAAATTATATTATAATAGTTCCACCCTAATGTGAACTTAACACATGTACACATACACGCTCATATGTGAGAAACTGCACTTTTCACGTCAGTGCGTATTCGGTCAATTTCCTCTCCAAACGGATCCTACAAACTGTTTTGAGGGTTCGATTTAAGACTTTAAATCTTTTTTATACGCAGTTTGAGTTTAATTCATATCAGAGGTAACATTGTAAGCCAACTTTAGGTTTAATACATTAAATAAACCGCCAAACACCATTTTATATTAGGTATGTTAAAACTTGACCTTTTTATTTCTTCTTATCTTTCCAAATAAAAAACCCTAGTGCTTTGTTGGAGTTTATACTCACACAAACGCCACGGTTTATTCACTAGCCATAAATGTATGCAATGCGGCAAAATAGGACATAAAGAGGGGTATTGTGCATGTTTTTCGAAACAGAAACCTATTTCAAAATTTAATGAATTAAAGAGTAAAAGAGTGGGAAAACGCGAAAATTTGTTGAAAACGTAGTTACAACGTGTAATAATATTGCTCGAAACCGACGTTTCGTGACTATTGAAATCCAAAACGTCCAACTTAAACTCCAGCACGATACCGGAGCGGACATAGCGATCATTTCAACACGAAATTGGGAAAAGATCGGCAGTCCTCCATTACGTTTATGCCAAGGGTCAACGCGCGACGCTTCAGGGAATCACATCCGAATTAGTGGTGAATTTGATGCGACGTCGAAATAAGCGGAAAGAGAAAGCAAGCAACAATAACAGTTTGTCCTCACCAAAATTTACTAGGTACAGATGTTATATCACTTTTCGACTTATGGGGAACACCCATTTCGGAATACACAGCCTGCAGGAACAACCAAGCTAGCAGTAAATTCGCCCAGCCAAATTTACTTAAGATGTTCCCAAGTGTTTTTAGAGATGAAATTGGTCACTGTACAGCGTATAAAGTTCACCTGCAACTTAAACCGCAAGCAGTTCCCATGTTTCGACCGAAAAGACCAATAGCATATGCAGCACGATGTCAAGTTGAAAGTGAACTGAAATGATTAGAAAGCGAGGGTATTATTACGCCAATAAGTTTTTCTAAATGGGCTGCCCCAATCGTGGTTTTAAGAAAAGCTTCAGGCGAGGTGCGGTTATGTGGCGATTACTCTACGGGCCTTAACGAACAGCTGGAGAATCACACTTTTCCACTGCCACTTCCAGACGAAATATTTGTACATTTTAATGGGTGCGCATATTTTTCTATCGTAGACCTTAACAACGCTTACATGCAAAATGGAAGTGGATGAGGAAATAAAAAAACTTTTAGTAATCAATACTCATCGTGGATTATATAGATTTAACCGCTTGGCACCAGGAGTTAAATCGGCACCCGGAGCATTTCAGCAAGTCATGGAGTCACTACTTACGGGGATTTCTGGTGTATTTCCGTAACTCGACGACGTTGTTATTGCGATCAAAACGAAAGAGCAAAACATTCAGTCTGTAATTGAACTATTCAACCGTTCCAAATTACGTAACCTCCCTGTCAACTTCAGCAAATGTGAATTTTTTTAAAAACCGTGTACCTATCTGGGCTACCACATTGACGGCAACGGTATCAGTCCAGATAAGAACAAAATCAACACAATTTTAGAACTACCACCACCAAAAGATTTGAGCGAACTTCCAACGATTTTAGGTGCAGTAAATTACTACGGTAAGTTCATTCGAGAAATGCGTATTCTAAGAAATTCTTTGGATGCTTTGCTAAAAACCGATACAAAATTGAATTGGACACTACAATGTCAGAAACACTTCAATAAATTTAAAGAACTTTTGTCATCGGATCTGTTATTAACGCACTATAACCCTAGTTTGCCAATTAAAGTAGCTGCCGACGCTTCTACTGTAGGCCTAGGTGCATATATTTGCCATATATGTATACCCTGATGGGAGTGAAAAGGCTATAGCACATGCTTCGAGAGCTCTTACTCAGTCTGAGAAGAATTATTCTCAAATTGAGAAGGAAGGCTTGGCTCTAGTGTAGCAGTAGTAAAATTTCATAAATACTTGTACGGTAGAGAATTCTATCTACATACCGACCATAAACCATTGCTTGCCATCTTTGGTAATAAGAAGGGCATTCCTTCACACTCTGCAAACCCCCTTGAGCGATGGGCTTTAACGTTAATGTCGTACGATTTTATATTGGAACATGTACCAACGAAAGAATTTGGAGCTGCGGATGTACTGTCACGACTTATTAGGAATACATCTAAGCCTAACGAAGACGCAGTCATCGCTTGCTGCCAACTTGAACAGGAAGTGAAGCAAATTGCTTCCAACGCCGTACAAAGTTTTCCGCTAACGTTTCCGATGATTCAAAAGGCCACGCAGAAAGAAGCGCTATTACAGCAGGTTCTTAAGCTCCTCAAAAATGGTAAGTGGCCAAATACGATGGATGAAGGCCTTCGTAGTTTCTACATAAACCGCGACGAGCTTAGCACGATTGAAGGCTGTATTATGTGGAAAGGTCGCTTGGTTATACCCAAGTGTTATCGCCGACGAATTCTGAAAAGCTTACACAGGGGCCATCAAGGACTTGGGCGAACAAAAGCCCTGACCCGCAGCTATGTATATTGGCCGGTAATTGACGAAGACATCAAGCAATATATTCGAGGATGTGAACGCTGCGCAGCTGTGGCCAAGACATTAACAAAGACAAACATTTCATCATGGCCAGAAGCAGATCACCCGATGCAAAGAATTTAATTAATTAATTAATTAATCCCAACGGCATTTTACCCTCCATTCCCGCCCAACCGACACGAGGTGCGCAGTCCGCATAACGTACGGAACTTTTGTTTTTTTTTTAGTTTTTTAGTTGTTTGGTGCCGAGTAGTGGAAACAGGAGTTTGTTAAGTGTCGAGATCTAAAGCTATTCAGCTACAGAATCCAATTCATCAGCTGATTGGATATGCTAAAGATAGTATTTCAATTATTGAGAGTGGAAATAATAGTTTTCTTTATAGTAAAAGTCGAGTCCGATACGTCAAACGTGCTGAAATGACAGTTAAAATCCTGACATAAACCACGGAATGATTCGTTTAGTTCAAAATTAGTTTTGCCTGGCTTTAAAAATAGAGGTCGAAAGTGTCTTGACACTCGAGAAGGAACATTAAAATTTACCTCAGCCAGGAGGGCCGGGCTATTAATCAAGCCTGTCACTAATTTTACGATAAATATTATACCCAGCATTTCTCTACGGCTTGCGAGTGTAGGCAAATTTATGAGCTTTATACGACTTGTGTAAGGGGGGAGATTGTAATCTGAATCCCAGTTAAAATTACGCAATGCAAAAAGCAAGAATTGTTTTTGAATTGATTCAATTCTTTCTGAATGAACTTGGTAGCGGGGATTCCAAACAATAGATCCGTATTCTAGTATAGGTCTAACTAAACTGGTAAAAAGAGCTTTTGTAACATAAGGATCTTTGAACTCTTTTGACCATCGCCTTACAAATGCAAAAACGCCTTTGGCTTTATTGACTGTAACATTAATATGATGGTTGAAATTGAGTTTGGAATCCATTGTGATACCAAGATCGACAAAATTGGATACCTGCTCCAGATTATAATTTGATATTGAATAAACAGCTGGTTGAACAGCCCTCCGAGAGAAACACATAACTTTACATTTTTGAAGGTTTAGTGGCATATAGTTTGTATTACACCAACTAACCACGTTGTTCAGATCCGCTTGTAACAAAGACCTTTCTTCGATAGAGGACAATGTTTTAAAAAGTTTCACATCATCGGCATACATTAAAATTTTTGAATGTTTTATTATAGAAGAAATATCATTAATGAATATCAGGAACAGAATCGGACCAAGGTGGCTTCCCTGAGGAACCCCTGAAGAAACTTTAATGATGTTGGAAGAACAATTATTAACAATAACTCTTTGTGTTCTATCAGAGAGGTAAGATGAGATCCATTGAAGAAGACTGGGCTGAAAGCCGATTAGGTCGAGTTTACGGATGAGTAACGAGTGACATACTTTGTCAAAAGCTTTACTGAAATCGGTGTATATTACGTCGGTATGAGCATTTTCTCTAAAACCGTTTGAGACATGAGTGGTAAACTCCAATAAATTAGTCATAGTAGATTTTCCTTTAGAAAACCCGTGTTGAGATTGTGTAATTGAAGAAGATATAGAATATGTCAGCTGGTTAACAATAATTGCTTCGAATAATTTGGGGATAGCGGAGAGTTTCGCTATGCCTCGATAGTTTTCTATAGACGACCTGCTGCCGTTTTTGTGAAGTGGTATTATGAAAGACTCCTTCCAGGCTGACGGAAAAACTCCATGTTTAAGTGACAAATTGAATAGAGTTGTTAAAGGCTCGCAGATGTTCTCAGCGCAGTTTTTAAGAAAACAGGTCGGAATATGATCAGGTCCAGGCCTAAATGACGCTTTTAAGGTTTTTAAATAGTGTAAAACTTCATCGGAAGATATTACTGGAATATAAGCAGAGTTGATTGGACAAAGCTCGTACGGATAGTCTCCACTTATAGGGAAGTCTACAGAATAATTGGACCTAAAGAACCGAGCAAACATGTTGGCAATGAGTTGGCTGTCGCTAGATACAGTGTTGCGATAATGCATAGCGGACGGAAAACCATGTGCCTTACGCTTTGAATTTACGAAACCATAAAATGATTTAGGATTGTTAATTAAATTCTTCTTAATTTTACATAAATATGAATTATAACATTTCTTATTTAAT